AATTTCCTCTATGCTTATGGACATTTCTCTGTTCGGCTATTATCAAAAGTTTACATTTGCTAATATTGGGCCAGTCCTAGACAATAGCTACTGTTTCTTTTAAAAATCTTATAAACAAGACGCGTAGTAACAAGTGAATCGGTGCAAAGCGCATCAACGTTTACAATTCAATTCAATTCAATTTAATTTTCCAAGTATGTTACAATAGTTTGAACTTGATAGATATACAGGGTGTCCCAAAAAAAAGTGACACTATAGAAATTATCTCCTTGTTCTTAAGCCGCTCTTAAACGCGCATGATTACACGCCTGGGAATTTAATGAACTTGTATTTACATTTAAGCATCTCAAAACGTTTTCGCTTTGTCTAAATATTTTAACGCCCGAGTCAAGCAAAACGATTACACTAATAAACGGTTTGCTTTTTTATTTTAAATTCCAGAAGCAGAAGTTTATGCACCTGTGGGATCAACTTAGTGCTAGGGCATTCAAATTATAACAATAGGATAATTTCTATAGTGTCTCTTTTTTTTGGGACACCCTGTATACTAACAGTACAAGTTGTATTTTACAAAACATGTTTGGATGGAGAACAAAATAAACCCAAAAGGCTTTTACAAGTAGTTCCCCTAGTATTATATTGATACATTTATAATATTTAAAAAATTATCAGGTAATCAAGCTATGAACTAACGTATATTTACATTGATATAATTATAATATATATTATATGTATATGATGCAATAAGTTCAAATATAATAAATCTTATTTTAGGCTATATTGAAATTATTTGTTTTGAGATAATATATATATATATATATATATATATATTGGCGTTGTGCCTGACGATTGGAAACTCGCTAACGTTGTCCCTGTTTACAAACACGGAGAAAAAGCGGAGGTAGAAAATTACCGACCAATTTCACTACTGTCCCTTATATCAAAAACCCTCGAACGTTGTGTATTTAACAACATCAAACATCATGCTTATGATCAGATAAACCCTTGCCAAAACGGTTTTGTGCCGAAAAAATCCTGCATCCCCCAACTCATCGAAGTCCTTGATCACATTGGCCGTGACTTAGATCGTGGTAAACAAATTGACGTAATTTATTTAGACATGTCAAAGGCCTTTGATAAAGTGAGCCACGCAAAGCTGTTACATCGCCTTCGTGAATTCGGGTTTGGAGGAAGCATTCTCAAATGGTTCGGTTCATATGTGACCAACCGATATCAACAAACTACTCTGACTTGGTCTAAACAAGTTGACCACCTGTGCAACAAAGCCACCAAAATGCTAGGATATGTCCGAAGATCAACCTTAAACATCAAAGATATCACGGTTCGCCGCAGACTATATTTATGTCTTGTTCGTTCCCAGCTATGCTATGGATCTCAAATTTGGGCACCACAATCAGTAACCTTAATTAAACGCGTGGAAAGACTTCACGCGCAACAAAGTACATCCTGAATCTGCCCTTCCGTTGTGACACAACCTACAACCAGAGACTTGCAATTTTAGATCTCCTTCCATTGTGCTACTGGCATGAATTTCTAGATATGGTAACCTTCTACAAATTAACGCATGGCATCATGACCATTGACAGTAATTTAATACAGTCGTCACCCAATAACAACAGAAGACAAACCAGGTCGTCTAATCCCAATCATCTGTCAATCACAACGGCACAATGCAAGACCACTACCTACCAAAGGTCATTTCTCAACCGAACAAAGAGACTATGGAACGCATTACCAAAAAGTTTGACAAGCAATAACATTAGTTTGGGACAATTCAAAAACGGACTTTCAAAATATTACAAGTTAGCGTTGGAAGACGTTTTTAACGTTGATGATCCAAGGACATGGAAATCTATATGTTTGTCTTGTAACAAGTCTCGTAATCTGTCCTGTCAAATATCGTGTTGTTATTAGATTTATGTTCGTTGTATATTGTTGTATAGTATTAAAATAGTTAATGGGGCCGCTGTAATTGGTGAAAACTGTTGCGTGCACCCTGCCAATGAAACACATATTATTATATGTTGTTGTAAATCAGTGGTGTTATATGTTGCATGTTACTTGGCAAAGTTAAATAAATAAATAAATAAATATATATATATATATATATATTACTGCACGCTTAAAGGATATATTTGAAGAAAAATCTTTTATTTGTGATGGAATTTTATTCCATAAATCTGTTCCTTTCGTTTTAATTGAGAATTTGCCGTAATTTGTTCTGAAATATTTTTTGTGAATAGAATTTGACTTTCTGTTGTCATGATGGTGTATTTTAGTATTTGTGGTAAAATAATCATTAAGTGAGGCTGGTAGGTTTCCATGCATTTATGTAATCAAACATGAAAAGGCTAGTACATAAATCGTTTATTTGATTAAGGTTTAATAATTTTAGCTGTTGAAAAAGAGGCGCTGACTTTGCAATGTATGGATTGAATGTAATAATCCAAATTACTTTTTTTGGATTTTTATGATTTTTGTTAATCTGGATGGATAATTATTTGCCCACACTATATTACCATGCATAATATAGATTTGGGTATAAACAATTAAGCGTATTGTATAATGTTATTAGTGTGTTAGTATTCAGAAAGTGACGAGTTTTTGTGAGTATACCAGTTGTCTTCGATTTATTTGCTACATATAATTTATATGGTCATTCCATGTTAAATGTTCATCGATAATAATTCCTAGAAACTTTGTACTATTGACTTGAGATAGCTGATTATTCCCTATGTTTATTGAATATATATTATGATTTAGTTTCTTTTTCTTTGTCTTAAAGTTAATAAAATTTGTCTTCTTAACATTAAGTGGCAGTCCCGCTAAGAGCGGTCCGATGACTTTGACTTCGGAAAATAGATTTCCTTTATTTTTTGTGTGTTGAAAGGCATTGGTATACAAGTGTCCAAAATAAATTTATTTTTTGAAAATTCTTTTTTATGGCTTCGCTAGACGCCGAAACCCATTTTACCCGTGCAGAGCTATCTTCAAGCAAAATCGAAGGTTGAATTTCGGTAAATTGTAGAACCGCGCTGAGTCAAAACGCCTGACTATTTCCAAATTTCAACTAGATCAACAAGTTAAGATACAATTCAGGTTCCTTGTTCCAAAAAATAAGAGCATTTGAATAAATCGTGAATAAACGACAGCAACTTGACGGCACACCGGTTTTTGCTTCTTGTTCGGTCTACAAAATTACACTAAAATCGAAGCCTGAGATCTCCAAATGGGGACCTAAAATTACGCTGAAATGTGCTTGGCTGTAATGATTTATACTTATTTTCAGAAGATCTGAAGAAAAACCTGCGGGTATCAATCTGTATTTGGCGCGAGTTAAGATTTTCTGGAGCCCATAATCAGTGATTTGTGCATAATTTATAGCTAATTAACATATTTCTTGAGAGGCGCTAAAAGTAAACAATTTCTTTCTGACTAACATATCGCAAATGAAAGAAACTACCACAGCTAGTAAAACCCTTTTTGCAAATATAGTCGTAATTATGTTCTTTTCCTGACACGCTGAGAGAGCTTTGTTTTTGAATGTTATGCCACATTCATTCAGTCTGACCAGTTCTTTCCTTGATTCAGTTGATTGATTTAGTTGATTGATTTAAAAAAACTATAAGTATAATAGAACATTCCACGTGTTTCCATTCCCCCTAGGCCTAGAATTTTTATCAATATGTTCTATTTTTCTGTGGCGACGGCATAACAAAATACGACACAAAAATGTACATTCGAATTTATGACCGACATATCAGAATGTTATTCATGAAGTTTGAATTGAATTTACTTAACGCAAAATAAATGCTAAATAGGAATTTTCTATGCTGGGTTAGTAAAAGAAAAAGCATAATTTTTAATTGTATGTAATTTCGATGAATACTTAAAAAAAAAAATTATACGCATTGTTTATATAAATTAGCTAGCATTTTCACATTTATTACGACTATTATGATAGTAGCGACGTTTGTTTTAGCAATGTAACAAAATAAACTATAAAGCATTCTGATCAGTTATTTAACAAAAATATTAATTTTATAAATAATCGAATTTCAATATTTTTCTTTGAAAAAAATATATTCGTGAGCTCCATAGCTGAGGATAAATTTCACAAATTTCATTAATTGTGAATTAAAATTCACAAATTTGTTAAATAACTGATCAGAACACAAGCGGCCCAATCTCCGAATGGTCTATATATTTTGAATATTTATACGGAATACCGTAAACTTCCGAATATAAGCCCTGGGCTTATATAATTTCATAAGCCTTTTTTGATGGGCTTATACATGGGGGGGGGGGCTTATACACGGACCACATCTTAGGTTAATAGTAAGAAAACACGTACTATATTTACGGACCGAAACTGCACAAACTGTCAAGTGTTTTGTAATCCTTTATAACCTTTGTTTAAATAAATACATACCGTAGACGTAGTCTTAGTTGAAATTTAATTAATGCAATGTAGTGGATTTTTTTGTGTAATTTACCGGTATTATAGTGTGATGGGCTTATATACGGGTGGGCTTATGTAGGGGTGGGCTTATATTCGGGGGGGGGCTTATATACGGAATGGTGTGAACGTTAGTAATTTGATGGGCTTATAGACGGGGGGGGGGGCTTATATTCGGAGGCAATAAATTTCACATCGCCTAATAGTACGAGCGTTCTTCTTTCGAAAGAACTTGGTTTGTTCACCATTGCAGCAATTCTCGTGACACAAGACGAACTTTGTTTGTCCAAATTCCAAAATTCCATTTTCGAAAGAGGCGCTAACCCCACGATCGTTACCACGAGAGCGGCACAGCAACCTGGCCTCCTCGTTTGAAAACAATCCGCCAGGGGGGGGAGGATCTTCACTGGAATGAGGGGGCTTTCAAAACAACACGATAAAAAACACGATATAAATAATAAAACATACGGTTGAAGTGTTGAACGAAGTGAAGTTCGATACTTTAAAAAGATTGGTATGATTGTCAAAAGCTAAATAATAATAATAATAATTTATTCATTTAAATAAAGCGCATATGTTATATTATATACTCGAAGCGCTGTACATTATAAAAATCTAAATATATTAAGAATTAAATATGCTATATAAAACATGGTATTGTATACAATTAGAATATACACTAATGTATGTATCTATAATAAGAATGAAGAATCCAATATGGTCTCAACCTATAAAGGGTTATAAGCCTTATTGAAAAGAAATATTTTCAAGCGTTTCTTAAACACAGAAATGTTTTCACAGTTCCTGACATCCAGAGGCAGAGAATTCCATAATTGTGGAGCAGCATGTGCGAAAGCCCGATCTCCTAGAGTCTTACAGTTTGTTTTCGGGATGTATAATAGACCTTGACCATCCGATCGTAATGTCCAGCGATCACTTGATTGTTTTGGTAGTTTTGGTATAAGCATTTCAGAGATATAGATAGGGGCAATGTTATTAAGAGCCTTGTAAACCAGTAAAGCAATTTTGAATTCCACCCGGAATTTTACCGGTAGCCAGTGAAGTGATCTCAAAACTGGTGTGATGTGAGAAAATCTTGGACAGTGGTAGATTAGTCTAGCAGCGGCATTAAGAACTCTCTGCATTCGTTGGACTTGATACCGAGGTATGCCAGCCAACAGAGCATTACAATAGTCCACGTGTGATGTCACGAAAGCATGTATCAAAGTTTTCGTTGTATTAGTAGATAAAAATTTTCTATAATAAGTAAATAATGTTCTTGTTCTAAAAAATATGTAAGGAAAAGTTCATATTAAACAAGATATTTCTAACGTTTCTCACGCTTCTAAAAATAGGACTGATTCAAAACTTGTTTATTGTTTATTGTTTCTTGTTTATCGTCGAATACGGATGATAAAGTAATCATTTCTATTTATATCGTGTTTTTTATCGTGTTGTTTTGAAAGCCCCCTCATTCCAGTGCAGATCTTCCACCCCCCCTGGCGGATTGTTTTCAAACGAAGAGGCCAGGTTGCTGTGCCGCTCTCGTGGCAACGATCGTGGGGTTAGCGCCTCTTTCGAAAATGGAATTTTGGAATTTGGACAAACAAAGTTCGTCTTGTGTCACGAGAATTGCTGCAATGGTGAACAAACCAAGTTCTTTCGAAAGAAGAACGCTCGTACTATTAGGCGATGTGAAATTTATTGCTCTGCAACGATTCTGAGGCGAGATATTGGACTCGATGTCGGAGGGTATATCAGATAAGTGGCTAGCCTTGTGGTTATTTATGTCCTATGTAGCCAGTGCCAGTACTGACGACCGTTCAAGTAAGACGAAAACGTAAAGCAATCGCATCAACTAAACTCAGAAACACAACAAATGCATTCTATTAACAAGTTAGTCCTTTATAGATATATTTTTTTACATATATACTGCTAATATTTTTTGAATTATTTCGTTATTAAATATTATAACAGTCAAATATTCCGTATAAATATTCAAAATAATTATATAGACCATGCATTCGGAGATTGGGCCGCCTGCATGTGATCATAATGCTTATAGTTTATTTTGTTACATGGTAAAACAAACGTCGCTACTATCGTAATAAATGTGAAAATGGCCGTTTTTATACTAGAGACGCATTATGCGTCTGGACGAACTTGGGCAAGCATTTATTGTTCGTCTGGTTATGCGTCCTTAGTATAAAGACGGCCACAAGACGCATTATGCGTCTAGACGAACTATGTTCGATTTTTCGTCTTAAGAGACGCACAACCGCTGATAGTTCGTCTAGACGCATAATGCGTCTGTGCGTATAAAGACGGCACACAGAGGAATAATCCAACAATGCGAGACCGTGATACAAAAAGCCACCGATTATTCGTTAAAAATTCAACATGGCGGCTAAAGGAAATAATGTTTCGGCTGCTTCCCCTACTGTTTCAACATCAAAAAAGCAGCAAAAGTCTCGTCAATGGACAGAAACAGAACTTAAATACTTTGCCCTTGTGCTTGTGGACGAAAAGAACGAATTTGCATACAGACTTGATACGCTTGCCCTTAAGAAAACGGCTAGTAAAATTGTATTCGAAGAGATTTCAACTGAATTAGAAGAAATCATGTTGGGAGAAGATTTCAAAGACGAAAGTCTGCGCGAACATTGTTCGTCTAAGTCAAGAAATGAGTTATTACCCCTAAATATTGATGCAGAAAAATTAAGGATCAAGTTCAAATGGATGAAGGATCAATGGCGAAAGTATACAGACCGCATCAAGAAAGGAAGTGGTAAGTCTCCAATCCAAGAACCAGAGTGGTACACAATCATTAATGCTGTGTTTTCAGACACTCATGGTAACTTGGAAATTGCTTCAAAAGCACGCGATGTTCTGTCTGATGACTCAGAATCTGACGTCTCAAACAGTGAGGATACAGAGTTGGTAGATATTGAAGAGGGGTGGGAGGCCGATCACTCCGATGTATCAAATAATTCAAATTTACCAAAAGGCAGTGACAGTGGAACCGAATGTGATACGAAAAAGAAGCTGTTGAAAAAAGGATTGGAAGCAAAACCATTGCCTCGAAGGAAACGAATCAGAACTCAGGGCCAGGCCATCAATGAAATTACGAAGAGTTTTAAAACTATGGGTGAGTCACAACAACGCCGTTCTGAAATTATGATGCAAGCAGAAAATGAAAGGCATACAGAATTTATTGCATTTCAGAGAGAACAAGCCGAATTGAACAGGCAGCATGAGCTAAAAATGCTTGAAGTAATCATGAAACATTCAAATCGGCCATCCCAGCAACAACCACCCCACCAACAACAACCACCCCGACAATCGCCACTATATATTCAACTTCAAGTACAACCTACCCAGCTTTGTAGTTCTGTACCTTACAGCCAGAATGCAATTCAGAACATGCAGGCAAGTGAAAGACAAGATGATATTTTAAACTTAGACAGCCAAAATAATCAGCCATCTATGAGATGGTTTTAGATGTGGAACTAATTCCCTTATGGCATCAACTTTGTGTTAATATTTAATTGTTTGCAGCAAGTGTTTTAAGACATTACTTGTTAACCAAATGGATTTGTTCTTATTTGTTTATTTGAACTTCTTTGGCAATTTTAATTAGGTTTAACCTATTTGAGAATACCTACAATATATATAAAGATTCACTTTCTTACTGCCAGTATTTGCAATGTTATGTAACAGTTTTATTTAAACAAAGTGGTTTTACATGTTTTGATTTGTTAGAGAATTAAAATACTATAAATTAAATAATATATGTAATTCTCTAATTTGCTTGACTGCACATGGGAAGCCCGTAGAATCGATTTCTGGTGTGTCCAATCTTGGAGGGTGCATATATGCATATATAAGCGCTTTTTTATATGTTCCTTTCCTTATATTATGGTTTAAGTGTAAATATTTGCATCTAAAAGTGATTTTGAAATATTAAATAAAAACGTTTTGTGGTTACGTGACAAGTCATTTTATCAATCTGCATGCTACCCATTGTGTTTTTCTTAGGCCCACAATGTCTTGGCAGTCATGCCTTATTTGGTAGCGAGCAATGGAAAAGTCTTGCGGGTTAGTCATATCTTCCTATATTAAATTTCATCAAGAATGAATACAATTTGGCATCAGTTTTTGACCTCCAAATTTGCAGGGCAAAATAATGTACTTGACAGTATTTTATCTTCGGATTTCCTTTGCGTAAACGGAACACGTATGCTACGTCCGTGACGTTTCTTGTGCGATTGCATGGTCACCCTCAGTTTCTCATTGTACGGTAACATTATATCCTATCACGTTTAAGTACTAGTATTTATTCAGATAATGTTTTCATGCAGGCGTAATATTTCTAACACAGAACATATATCAGACGAGCAATTTCAGAGCTCTTATTTCTCATGAATAAAGGTTAAAATCCTTTACCAGCAAACAATTTCGAAAAATATAACTGATGAAACACACTCCGAATATTAACATCTTATAACAAAATTCGATCATGATAATATTTCGACTTTATTTCAATGAGTCATTGTCAGATCTAAGTATTTACAAGCGTGCTGAGATCGTAGAACTGGAATTTAGTAACGTAATCAGCTGAGAGGTGTGAGAAAAGCAAAAGCATTATCAATATTTACAATGGACTATTTAAAACACGCGTATGTAGGAGTGTTGTATCATATTTAAAATGCGAGTGCGCAGCCGAGCATTTTAGATATGATAAAACCTGACTACAAGTGTTTTGAATAGCTTCAAACACGACTACAATAGATGCTGTCTCATTAGTATTTTTATATAAAGAATACTAATGAATATGAGTTTTATCAAGTATAAAACCTCTTCAATGTTCTTTCAATGTCAGTGAGCCAGAACAAATGGTATGCGCTAAAACCTGGACGATGAACGGTGGAAATAAATTTAGTAGTATATTTATTACTTATTATATAGTATTTTTATTTTATTATTATTACTCAGCAATAATAATAATAATAATAATAGTTAATTATCAATTAGTAAATAAACTATTATTAGTAGAATTTAATCCAAACTCAACTTTATAGTTGTAACTGAAATAAAACTATAAAAAAGGAAAGAGTTCAGGAATACTGAGCAATGTACTGAGCAAATGTATAAGGATCGGACCAAAAAAATAAGGAGGAATAATGATTTCCATGCATAAAGTTACTGTAGCGTCGGATGAGATCATCTGACATTTTGATCTAATCGCAAAGTTTTTCTTTCAATCTGTCTCGAATTAATTTGTGACGAAATGATTTGCTATAATCCTATGTATAGTACCTAATTATGTATACCGTGTATACCACTGAGTATACGGGTTATGCAATAAATATTATATATATATATATATATATATATATATATATATATATATATATATATATATATATATATATATACATATACATACATACATATACATACATACATACATACATACATACATACATACATACATACATACATACATACATACATACATACATACATACATACATACATACATACATACATACATATATATATATATATATATATATATATATATATATATATATATATATATATATATATATATATATATATATATATATATATATATATATATATATATATATATATATATATATATATATATATATATATATATATATATATTCATATATATATATATATTCATATATATATATAT